AGAGCTGGTCAGAGTCATATTCATGGGCCCCGGCCCGCGAGACGGACCCTCAAATGATAGCCAAAGAACCTTTCGCGCGGATTAGGGACACCCAAGTGGCTATGGGTTTATCAGCTGGTCAGGCACCACCAGTACCACACAGTTGGCTCCGTGGCGGCATGGGCCTGAGGGCTCATTTCTCAAGCAGGGGAAAAGTTGGAGCCAGTGAATTGCACTGTTCGGTGCCCCTCTATCTATCACGGACCCACAGCGCCGAACAGACGGCTGTGTGCTCACAATGAGCCCTGGGCCGACCAAGGGCAGTGTTCGATGAGGCCCGGGGCCCGACGGAACCGACTATCAAAGGCACGGTTGGATGGCATAAGGGCCGATGAACTAGCTGTAGGTCGCAAGAAGAATCGCAGCTCGTAGGGTCGCAATCTGAAATATTAGTTCGAGGTCCTCTTGTGCCTTTTGAGGACTCCCTGAGACCATGCGAGTGTTTAACTCGGCCAGGGACCACGAATACCGAGCAGTTGGCTTCCTGTCAGCCTGAACCCTGGGAGCCCATTTCCCAAGCAGGAACAAGATCAGGGGCCACGATTTGCATTGGTCTGGGTCCCTGAAACAGTGGTTGGGCCCTTGTGGCGGGCAGAGGCCTACATTACAGAACAGAAGGTCATTTCTGGGCTAATGGCCTCTAGTCGGGCATGGACTTTGAGAAAGTCCGAAAGGGGCCGGAAGGCCCTTCGGGACTTAAGATCAAGGGCCCAGTTGGGCTCGGTCCCTCCCCATCCCCCCCCCCCATCCGTAGTGCCGCAACCTGAAATAGCGGAGGGCTTCTGACGGCCCTCCTATTAGAGTTCTTTATCCCTATTATATGCGGCCTCGACAAGGAGCCAGTCAGCCCCATGTCTGTCGGACCCCTTGATACCGGTTTTCCAAGCAGGAGCGAGGCTGGGGACGGCGATTTTCAATTTGTGAGGTCCCTGACACCATGAGGGGCTCCTGTATCGGCCAGGGGCCACAGTGTCTGACAGGAGCCGTGTGACGGCAAGTCGCCCGAGTCGGCCACGGCCATACCATGAGTCGGCTCCGTACATCTCAACCTCCATAAACAGCTCATCACTTTTGAGAACGCAGCTATTGTTTGGCATCCCAGTGCCGTCACCAACATCGCGTGATAAACGATAAAGAAGCATTCGCTTGGCTCTGACGTCATCCTTGCGAAGACGCTTCCAAAGCCGGCCGCCCCAATGCAGCCAGAGGTAGGGCCAGACATTGTGCTAGGTGCTTAAAGTTGCGATGCTGGCGTCCATTGCTGCACAGAGCCGACAGTGCGGTCTCAGCCCCAGCACAGCAGCGATGGCACAGCGAAGTACCGGTGTCGCCTCCGCGAAGCCAATACGATCACTTTTCCAATGTGGAGATCCTGGTCGTCAGCCAATATATCGGTCAAAAGTTCGGACAGGGGATGTGTCGACCTGTCATGTCGCAGCCGAACTGTATCATTCATCCACTCGACTCGTGCGTCGCGGTCACACGGATCTGCAGAGAGCTGCCGTTGCGGTGCAAATGCGAGGCGATGTGTCCGTTAGGGTGTCTGAACAGCAATTGCGTTGGCTACCTGTCGTCGGCCCGCGGGCGGCTAACGTGTCAAAACTACAAACGATGATCTTGAGCTGTGAAGAATCGCTCATTTCAGCCCTCTGCCCCTGTGGTCAGTCTGGCGCTGTGAACACCCGTTTCTCAGCGCCAGTTAGCAGAAATGGGCTTGCACTCAGTGATTTTGTAATACAGCCAACGTGTTACGAAATTCAGTGGCGCGGGTATTGGGGATAGGGGTGTAGTTCCGCCAAGTAACATCTGGGAGCGGGGAGGGAGCTCTCCAAGTTGGGGCCCGCTCCGCCGTTGGTAAATAGAAAACCACGCCCCTGTTTGGGAAGGAGTTGTGCTGTCAGTCTGCCGGAAGTCAGTCAGTGCTGTTGCACCTTCAGAGATGGTAAGCCTCTGGAGCCTGCTGGTGGCTGACTTTCAGTGCGCCCGATGACTGCGGTTGTGACTGGTGGGGAGTGCAGTTACGATAACCGGATCGTAATCCGGGGTGAGGTGTCGGCATCCATCGTTTGGGCACGGGACGGCTGGCATCTCCCTCACGAATCTTGCAAGCAATGGGTGCCAATGTAGATGGGAAAGCAGTTTTTGATCAGCTCTTTTATCAGTTAGCACACAAAGTTGGCGTCCATATGGAAAGAGATAAACAACATTAATAAAAACACTATCAAACAAGATACATAAGAGGCTAAGAGCATCGTCATATAGTGCCGACCTCGACCTCGACCTCGACGTGAATATTCAATGAAACAATTACGAAAAACTGGCGAACAACACCACGCGACTAACCCGATAGCGGTAACGTCCAAAAATGATCCGCAAAACAACACTAGGTGTTTCGAACATGCCTGTCGCGAATGCGACGCTGCAGCCTGAAGGCCGGCTTGTGGCTGCCCGCCGGGCGTCTCCCCGGCGGCCTTTATTAGTCGTGCACACCAGCTTGCCCTCTACAATCCCGAAGCTGTATAAGTCCAATAGGTCAAAAGGCACATAACGTCGAGTTAACGTCAAATACCGAAACCTGGTTTCGACCATCCAGGCCGAACAAAGTGACGATGATGGCGGCGGCAACACCTCTCGCCGAGATATGTAGAGCGAGGAAACGTATTGGGTCAGGAGTGTAGTTTTCTTTCCAGCTGGGGAGATCTACCTCCCTAACTTTGAGAGGAAAGTAAGTCAAACACGGGGAAGTCTTTTGGGATATATTTGGCCATTACCTCGTTTACCGGCCCAAACCTACTTTGCAAAACAACATTCCTGTAGTGGAAGCTTTATGATTGCCACCCACGACCGCTTCACAATAGCAGTACCTCACTGCCCAGCCCAAAGGAACGTTTCCGTGGAAAACGTCCGAGTCAAGAGGCAGATGGATCAAAATCGCTATGTGGCGATCCGTAGCGCACACCAGACGTATAACGGCACCACAATAATCCAAGATTTCGGCCGTATTGAAGACATGTTGAAAACTGGATCGGGTTCTCGCAATGCACATTGTACAAGAATAGCTAAAATGCCGAATGAAAAGAATCCACCGAATGAAAAAAGAAAAGAAAAAAACATGAAAAAACTGAAAGAAAAAAGAATGACAGAATGAAAAATTCCCCGTACTGTGTGTCGGGGAGCAGCAGAAGTGTTTGGAATGCAACTGTTGGCACATCCTAAAAGCCTGCCTAAAAGTCTGGCACAGCCTGAAGCGTGGACCGCTAGTTTAATCTACTCGCTGGCACACTGTAGTGAACTGCAAGAAGTACGACACCGTGTGCAATGCTCTGCGTCCACGCATCGTTGCAAGACATCGCGTATCCTTTCAAGGAGCAACAATGCTCAAGCGATAGCTTTGTCTTGTGCAGTGCTGCAGGAAAAGCCTTGCTGGCGACAGCCTGAAGATCAAGGACATGCACCCTTATCTCTCAACAATTCCACTTTGAAACGCCTGTAGAAGAACGCCTTAAAAATGCGGTAGGTAATGAAAAACTAAAACCAGTTCCGGCTCGAAAGAACTCGGTTGCGCCAGTTGTAAGACCAGACGTCTCAGACCGAGAGCTACGGCTTAGTCTCGGAGGGCCGTGCCCCACCTTGGGTCAAGTCCTGGGCTCCCTCAGTCAGATGGAGGTGGGGGACCGGCTAGGGCACGACTTACGCCAGCGTACCCAGCGTACCCAGGGATGGGGGTGAGGAATGGCCCATCGATGGGCTTTTCAATGGGCTCGAGGGACATCGATGGGTTCAAGGGACCAGTGGTTGCTTCCACCATCCTTCTTAACGATTAAGCATTGCTTCGGGAGGTGGGGGCTCTTCGTCTGCCCCGGACAGACGGTTTGCTGTCTTAGCACCCTCAAGCTCGGCCAAGCGTACACAGTTGGCATCAGGGGCGCGCCTGTCCGCCTCGCAGCGCTCCATCGCCTCTAACGCTCGTTCACACACACGTCCCAGTGGCGTCGGAGGTGAGAAGGCAGAGCCACACCCAAAACGGAAGCCGACGGGGACAGTGGATTGTCCGGCGCGGGTGACGGCGGAGGCCGCGGACCACGAGCGCCGTCCACCCCTCCTATCCGGAAGTTGACAGTGGCGCAGGGGAGCTGGTCGGCAGCGTGGGCGTTGCCGGGCGGGCCGGTGTCAGGGAGGGGACCAACGACCAGCCGCTTGCCCCGCCGGCACCACTGAGAGTCCGTCGGACCTAGGAGCGGAATGACCTAAAGAGCCGACATCCGGTTGATGGTAGTGAGCCGTTGTGCTGAGCTTTTGGATTTATCTGCATGGAACGCCCTGGAGTGACTAGCCTCATGCAGTTGTCGTGCTTCGCGAAATAATATGTTTTTTTAGCGGTTTCAGCGAAACGATTTCCTTTTCTTTCATGAAAGATCCTGTGAGATATCTGAGCAGCGCCACAGTTCACACATCATGCCTGCATGGCGTCACACTGGTCACCTTCATGTTCAAACGACGTACGCTTGTCACAGGCTGGTCTGTTTTGGCCGTGCGGTTTCGTGTGGCCGAAACGCTGACATTGGAAGCAGCTCGCATGGAGTAGGTAACGTATACGCGCACTTTGACGACTGCATGGCCATCACGGAATCAGATAATGCGAACTGAGCGGTCATTTTTTGTGTCGATCGGAACATTTCTTGATTGTAACGATGGGTGCCGGGGTCCATGATCCGTCTGCTTTTCCACGTGTACCTTTTTACGTGTTTGAGGTGTTTTACCTCTGTCTAGATCAAGGTACTGATGTTCTCACCCTTGCATTATTACGCTAAATTGATCAGTGGATGTCCTAAGTTGATTGAATGAGCGATTTTGGAGAGTGAAGATATTCGCTAGGTACGTCGGTGTTTTAGTTCTTCCGGGAGGAAAAACTTCAGCACGGCCTTGGCTTCCCGGATTTTCGTGACTCGCTTCAGTTGCGATTGGAGGTGATGCGGCCGGGGTGCGTTGTGTGGGGTATTGTATGTTGCAATTGCTGTTGTTTGGGGGTGTCGGGATTGGGAAGTGGCTGTTGTGTTTGCAGAGTATCCTGAACTTAACTGTTGGTTCTATGTTGTGAAATGAATTGTCCAGCTTTGAACTTATTCGTTTTATAGGTTTTTAAGGTACCTGGTCGGTTTTGTGAAATTTGGACATTACGAGGCTTTGTGAACTGATGAATTGAATAAGAAAATTATCTGAAATGTTTTTAGATGATATGACGATATCCGAAATGGGACAAGTAATTGCAACTCCCAGGGCAATATGGTTTCTTGGTGCATATCTGAATCCTCAGGAAATTCTTGGATAAACTGAGATGGTCAAGGTAAAATGCAGACAAATTTATGCGTGACAGGTATCTGTGAACCATGTCTCTTTCATTACTTATGTGTTATTTGTTTTAATAGTGCTGCTCAACATTAGTTAATCAGTGAAGTGCAGGAAGAATTGACTTCAGAATTGTCATTGCGCTCTTCCCCCTCCTACTTACTTAGGTGGTCATAAGCCTGTACAAAAATATAGTTCCACCATATTTCTATCAATCCATGGACTCATCAGATATGTTCTTGACCATTCTCGGCCATATGCTCAATTATAAAAGTGGGCAATATTGTATGGAAAATAAACTGACAGAAACAAAGCATTGTCCAACCTAATCAGACTTAAACTGTGAGGCTGGTACTATACCCATGGTTAATAACTTTGTGTTTATTGACCAGCTGGTTGTGACAAGTGATATTATGTTGGCTGATCTGATGGATGGATGGACAGTGATTGTGACAGATGAGTTTGTGGGGACTGTGGGCTCATCTGATTGTGACATGTAGCTGTGTAGGCTGATCTGGTTATGATAGATGAGACTGTGTAGGCTGAACTGGTTATGACAGATGAGACTGTATGGGCTCACCTGATTGTGACAGTTGAGACTGCATGTGATGATCTGATTGTAACAGATGAGACTGTAGGGGCTGATCTGACTCAGGTGGACAATGACAGATGGTTAGAGTGGAAGAACATTATCAAATTTTGGTAGTATGCTATGTGATATGATATGGCAATTCAGATACAGCTGTGTGATGTCATTTTGAAATCACACAATACCATTGCATTGCAGATTATATCCTCATCTATGAATTGCCTTCAGCCATATGTTGTTCCTTTTGTGTGTGCTATTCCTTTGAAAACCAATTTGGAATGAGTTGCGTGATTGTCACTTGATTTAGAGTGTACGCTGAGCAGAGCTTGTTGCCATTGACATACAAAAACCCATCCTACATCATTCCAACCCATCATCTATTTTCCTTCCAGCCTCTTATCAAACTGGTCTGGACAGCACATAACATGTATAACCCAACAGCATGTTTGACCCATACTGAGTGGACTTCCCCCCATACCCCTGTGTTAGCCAATTGTAAGCTGACAGGTCTATTTTAGCTGGGCCAAATTACAAACAGTTAGCATGTTCTGGGGCTTTTACCCTGTTCCTCAGTATTATGACTCCAGCATATTTCCTCAAGGCTGGAGAGGCCACATCCCAGTTCAATGTCACTGGAAATCTGTCATGATGTGTGTTGCTGAATGGCCAGCTGTGTATTGGGCTTTGGACAAGTGCATTGTGTTCTATGTGTTCTTTCTGCGTAAAATGGAATGTTTTGTTTTGCACATATGAAAGGCTTGCACATTCCTTTTGGTATGAAAGTGGTGCAGATAATGTGTTGTAATAGTTTATTATTGGACTTTTTAGCAATATCAATAACCATATCAATAACTAGGAGTTATTCATGTGTTATGTTGCTCATGAAGAGGGGTTGATTATTTTAAATGATGTGAAACCAGAGGGAGGTAGGTTGAGCAGTGCAACATTGCACTCAAGATTGGTTGAAAGCCATGTTTAAGCATTTCAAAATGTTAAAAACCTTAAAGCTGGGTGTGATGGCTGTGATCACAAGTAACATGCCCATCCTTGTCTCATACTTCTAGCTGTTTTAGGGGTGAACACATGCTATCTTGCTGGGATATTATGCTAAACACAGCATGGCCAGGACAAGTGGGGGGGCTGTCCAACATAACCAGTGCTAACCAGGGGACTGGCTGAAAATCAGGCCAAAAACATGTTCTGTAATTTATAAACACCAGCATACATATCTTCTGAGCATTTTCTGCCTGTTTGCATTGATTAAAAACATTTGTAACTTAGTATATGTGCCATTTAAGAATACATTCATAGTGTGTAATGTTTGTCATGTGATGTGGAATTCTTACCTCTGTTTGTGTGTTTTCAGCACATTTTCTACTTGCAGCTTGGATGTAGATGCACATTTGAGAGGTGATGGCTTCAAAGAGCTCTAAGGTAAGCAGATGTTTTTGTTTGTGAGCTGAACTGTATGCCTGCATTGTTGTATACCAGATATTGTTTGGACCACAAGGGCAGATCCTTAGTTTTACAGAATGGTCTTTTAACTGGGCATTTTATGGATTTAGGAAGCCATTTTCAGATCTCTTTGTTGGACTATCAGATCCCTCCCTCCACTCTGGACCAGTTATGTTTTGCCAGGTATTTAGTACATTTGCTGCAATATAGATAATGCTAATCCCTCAGGCATGTCTGAGTAAATGCTCAGGAAGGAAATCTGAGTTAATGCTGAGAAAACACTGGCATTTGCCCTTTGTTGGGGCATAAAGGCTGTGCTGCAACATGCACCTCTGTGTGCCCTGAGGTCATCTTCTCCTCTGGACATCAGCATTTCCATCACAAGCATGCATGAGCCTGGTGCTGCAGGTACTGCATTGTCCACCTCTCCCACTGAATAGCCACAGCCCCGTCCAGTGGCGGTTCCCATTACCCCCCCCCCCCCCCCCCGCTGACGCCGCACTGCCCCATCCAGTGGGCGGTCCCCGTTACCCCTTGACGCCCGACGCCGCGCTTCCCCGTCCAGTAGCGGTCCTTAGTTACCACCCCTGACGCCGCGCTGCGCCGCCATTTCAGCCGGCCGCCGCCGAGCAGACCGAGCCACCTCAGCAACTGTCTGAAGGTGTTCATCCAGCGGGACTACTCGGAGGGCACTGCCGTTCGCTTCCAGACGGCCATGCCACCGGAGCTGGAGGGACGGGTACGGTACTGGCGCCGCCAGCTGGGCCGCGGGCGTACCGGACCTGACGGAACACGGCCGTTGGGCGTACGGACCTGACAGAGCACGGCCCTGAGCGTACGACCTGACGAGAACACTGCCCTGAGCGTACCGGACCTGACAGAGCACGGCCCTGAGCGTACCGGACCTGACGGAACACGGCCCTGAGCGTACCGGACCTGACGGAACACGTCCCTGAGCGTACCGGACCTGATAGCACGGCCCTGAGCGTACCGGACCTGACGGAACACTCCCCCTGAGCGTACCGGACCTGACAGAGCACGGCCCTTTGCGTACTGGACCTGCAGAGCACGGCCCTGAGCGTACCGGACCTGACAGAACACGGCCCTGAGCGTACCAGACCTGACAGGGCACGGCCCTGGGCGCCGGACTTACTCGGACGTCTCCCGTCGCTGGGACTGGCAGGGTGTCTGGGAGGGTCCTCGCTGGGTGCGGCATCTCACCTGGTCACGTGGTGTAAATGGGGGCTGTGTTGGAAGTATTTTATAAAAAAATTATATGATCTTTCAGCTGGACCTCGCGCACAATCAGCCAGTGACCACCTGAAGTCAAAGCATGAACTTCACCACTTAAGAATTTAATGATCATTGAGTTGGCTGTGATGTGTGTGGCCAAATAACTTGAGCTGAATGTACAGTTCATTGAAAAACACGTTTTGGAGGAAGGAGGTCTTACTTTTGATATGTGAGCTTTTTTAGTCATAGGTCTGGGGAGAGCACTTTACATCAGTTAGGGAACATAGTAGCGACATTTGTTAGCACATCAAACAAGCGTGCAGAGTTCAGAGGAGCTGTGGAGGGGAGCTCTGGACTGGCGTGTCATAGTGGGGTCCGAATCACTCAAGGTGTATCGCCACGAACACCGCCCACCTCGGCCATGTCGATCGCGAGCATGTAAAATAGGGGGCCGTTCGCGTTACGTGCGGCTTTTGCGAGCGCCGTTCCGTTCTTGCGCGTGTTCGTCTGGCAGTACATGGGCTGGTTGGGCTGGACGGCGGCGGTGGTGACGTCATCTCCTTCTCTCCGCCAGATTGAGCCGGGAGTGTTCGAAAACACGCTGACGACCATCAACGAGATATTCATGGAGGCGGAGGAGTTGAACTGTGCCACCTATTGCGAGGGCTGCCTGGCCTGCCTCACCGCCTACTGCATATACACCTGCATGGATCCCCACTACGACAAGGTGCCACCCGGGACCGGTGCCGCCCGTGGCTGTCCTGGAGATACGACTGGCCTACAGCTGGCATGGAGGAGCGTAGCAATGTCACAAGTAGTCGAAGGGTGAAGTTCATTGTTAAAGTTAGATTGTGTGCGATGCATCACCCAATAGGTCCTATTTTAAGGTTGCTGAAAATGTGTGTTTCTCCGCTGCTCTTACGCCCATTTAAATGTGATGTTAGATATTCTCGTGCTAACGTGGACTGTCCTTGTGTTTCCGCCGAGGTCATCAATATCGCTGACTGGTGGGTCTCCGGGCAGGCGGGGGGAAAGCGATGCGTGCTGTGTGTCTTCGCGCCGGCGGCCGTCGCTCTCCTGCCAGTCGCACCCCTGACGTGCCCTGTGCCCGCTCTGCCGCCAGTGCGTGAAGAAGTGCTCGCGCTACATCGTGGAGCAGAACGAGCGTCTATGGCTGCCGCGCGGCCTGCTGCTCACCGACCCGATCGAGCGCGGCCTGCGGGTCATCGAGGTCAGCGTGCTGAACGAGCCGGCGCCGCAGCGGTGACGGGCGCCCGCCGACGCCGAGGGGGCCGGCTGAGCTCGCCCGTGTGGGTCCGGCCGCAGTGGCGGCAGGTGGCCGACGCCGGCGCCGGCGGCAGGCCGGCTCAGGCATCGGAGGCGACCTGCTGCCGAGAGGGCGCTATGGGGACTCCCGCAGCGTGCGCGGCACAGTGCAGGACTGAGCAGTGAAGTGGACTGCCCGAGGGCAGCGCGAATTTGGCAGGCTGGAGAAGGACAGGCGGCCGCCGCCCGCCTGCCTCGTACCCCGGTCTCCGCCCGTTGGTGACAGTGTTCCTGAGAGGGTAACGAAGACAACAATCGACTGACTCCTCGTTAGGACGTGTATATCTATAGGTATATTATTTTAGTGGTGAGTTTTCGCAGATGTCTGAAAATCGGATGTTGGCGTCGATTTAGCAGTGTGGAAGACGGAAGACGGTGTTGCCATCAGTGACGGCTCATTTCCAGCCTGTAACCACATTTGGGAAAGCGACAGTCGCTCGTCTTTCCATCAGCGGATAGGCGTTTTGCATTGTCTCTGGGTGATCGGCTGGCGCAAAAGGCGACACGTACGTATTTCGCTGTTCTGTCATGCTTGCCGCGAGTGGATGAAATGGCACTTCGTGCTGTCGTCTTCGTAGCGAACTTGCGCTCCCAACTGGGTATCAAGCCCTGTTTGGGTAGCTGATAAGCGCTGGCTGTATCGCCGGTCAACATTGACGTCACGCGAAATGCGCCGGTGCTGGCCGACACGTTATCAGCCGCGCTGCGCGTCCTGGTGGTCAATCCCGGCTCTAATGATGACTCAGTGAATGAGTGGTGCAACACCTTACCAATAGGTGGCAGCACAGGCTTCTCAGAGGTGTGGTCGGCGCCGCTGCGTTCAGCGTGTTCGTTTTGGGCGCCTCGGCCCCGTTGCCCTGCCTGCTTCCTTTGCTACTCGTACGTTCGCTGCTGATGGTGCGCACCGAGTGGCAGACCGCTTTCTGTCGTGGAATATATGTGTTTCTGGAGGTCATGTTTGTGAGACTCTGATGCACACCAGGCATTGCTGTGGGAGAAACGACTCCCACAGGCACTGCCTTTCAACTCGTTATTTATCGAGGGTAGTGTTATGGTTGAGGTAGGCAATCGCTCAGCAGCAAGTGTGAAAATTGAAGCACTTCGAGTCCCCACGCGCATCCATATTCAGCATTCCATTGTTCTCGAAAGGCCTGATGCTGTAACAAGAACGCCGCTTCATCGTAGGCATTTGCTGTGAGGAGTTGGTGCGGCGCAATGGGACGCAAATGACTGGGCTTAGCGGAAAATGTCTTGCTGCAGCAGTTCTCCTTCCCTCCTGAATAAAGCTAAAGGGTTTTCTACGTCATGTATAATCGAACTAAACGGAGTGAACATGCAAGGTGCGTAGGACATTTTGAACACTGTGGGTGTGCAATGTGGCGCTTTGGAAAGTTGCAGTCATGTTTCACTAGTTTACTCTGTTAAATAAACGGACATTCATCCCTCTCCAGTTGAAAGATGCTTCGCCATTCCCCTATACGAGACCTGACGCGTAGCAGCATTTTGGAAACTAAGCGTGATGGGAACACATGGAAGGCACCATGATACGGGCTTTTATCTTCCACGTGACTACTGACATGAAAACATGGGGTCAAACCGGATGTGGGGAAACCCCCGAGGATGGTGCGACCTATCCCGTTACATGTGCAGCCAGATCCCCACCACCGAGTTCAGAGGACAAACCCAGCGCGGTGTTAAGTGGAGCGCGTCAGTTGAGGCATTCCAGGTCCGCGTCGCGGCCGCACCTTGGACTGAGTCAGTGACGGCTGGTCCCCGGAGCGGCGGAGTGCCCAAGCGGGGTTTGTGCATCGTTTCCAATGGCTGGAGCGTTTCCTGCCGCTTGCAGCATTGCTCTGCCGTTCTGTACTGAGATTGGCGACGTCGAGCTGTGGCATACGTTCTTGTCATGACTTACATTGGTGACCAAGGGTCGATCTAACGTCGTCTAGGGGGAAGGGGGAGGGCGTCACGGGCTCGTGGGAAGGCAAAGTAAAAAAACAACACGAAACCCCCTTGGCACAAGCTTCTGATGTTTTAGGGAAGCAATTTTCCATAATTTGTCCATGTTAGGGTCAGTGCTCCGGATTTCCCCCACTCTAGTGAACATGCTACACTATCAACATTTTGACAACTAGGCTGTCATTTTCTTTCCCTTGTAGCTGTCAAGCATCGCCACCGCCCACTTTTTAACGGCTACTGATCGTAACAGCTGTCTTATAACATGCGTTTCAGTACTTGGATCTAGGATGTGCGCAACTCTGGTTATACTTAATGGTGGTTACAAGCTTTTGCAGCCAGGCGTCAGTTTTGCAACTGCAATCATCTAATCACCTGTGGTCCTGTCCGCCATTGTCGATCGCGTAAACGATGCCGACTCGTCGTGCAAGATATATACATGCAGGTACACAGTGTTCTCTAGATTTCTTCCCATGAACCAGTTCCTCTTGTCTGATTCTGAAACCAGGAAGAACCTTGGAACTAGTCTGTGATCGGTTCAGAAGAGATCCAACAAGAACCAATATCCAGCATCGTGTTCATGGAACCAGCCAGAAACAGGATACAGACCGACGCTAAGACGAGATATCCGGTAAGAACCAAGATCCGATTTGAGGATACATAGGGATCGAGCGATCAACTCCATGTGTGAAATTACGCGGAGAAATACATCGACAACCAAAAATCGGCCTGGATATGATTAAAGATCCAACAACAACCCAGATCCATCCTCAAATTGTGCCAACGCTCCAGAAAAAAACTAAGGTTAAAAAAGTTAGAAAACGCAGGGAAGTGTTCCAAAATCCAGGGTTCGTTTTCTTGAGGGAAGTGCAAACCAGGAACCAATGTGGGAAACCACTAATCAGACGTATGTCTGGCCAGATGGCGGATGATTCATTAATGGCTTCCGAAGCCCTGAATCATGTCAGGGAGGTTCTGAATTGTAGGATGACCAACAAAAGGGCGGCTTCTAAGTGAATGTCAAACGCCAGGAACGAAGCAAGCTTGTTCGCTTTACCATGTTTATCTTTACGGGATAGCAGAACACGCCATGTGTGGCCCCTCAGTGTACCATGGTATGACACACATCAAGTTATGGGCCCATTGAAAACTTCACTTCATTTCTGAGCGCGTTGTAGGCGCCAATGAGGAGTCCCAAACTCCTCAACTTGTTTTGGTGCGACATGGGCCAACGTGTGGAAGTGTTGGGCTCTGACGATACGGCGATACCACAGTGTCATGATGAGGTCTCTTCTCTCTCGATTTAGACATGGTGGTGCGGGAAAGCGCGATTAAAGAAGACCTGCGAGCCTCAGCGTTTGACCGGTTTGCCGAGCAGTAGGGACAGTGGCTTTGCCGCGCCACGTCCCGCGCTGCCCCAGCCATGGCCGCGCCACGGCCTGCCCCGAGCGGCGAGCTCAGCCTCGCGGGTCAGACGCCCACCGCCGGCCGCGCCACGGCCAGCCCCGAGCGGCGAGCCCTGCCTCGCAGGTCAGATGGCCACCGCGGCTGCGCCACGGCCTGCCCCGAGCGGCGAGCCCTGCCTCGCAGGTCAGATGCTCACCGCCGGCCGTGGGACGAGTTCGGTCCAGAGCTGCGCCTCCAGGCCTGACCTGGATGGTCCAGGCCTCGCCGGTCGCCTGGAACTCATCGCGCCGCTCGCAGGTCAAACCCGTCGTCAATGAGCGCGGTGATCGGGCGGAGGGAGCGGCGGTTCGGCGCTCGGTGGGCAGCGAGAGCGGTCTCACTCTGCGACGGCGCCGCAACAGGACCGGTCAGCAAGGTCAGGGCGGCTGCGCGCCGCCAGCCGGCGAGGTCAGGGGCGCGCAGACAATGAGCCCGCGTGTCGTTGCGTGCCGGTCCGGCCGAGAGAGAGCGTAATGGGGCCGGCTGGTACGCGGCGGAATCCGCCTGGCGGATGGCTGGCTAGTGGCGGGAGGTCATACCTCCAGCACTTCCGCTCGGCCCAGGGCACCGCGCGCCTGCGCTCGGGGGCGATGGGTTACCCAGGAGAGGGGGGGGGGGAAGGCAGGGGAACGATCAGCTCCCTTTAATTTGGTCGGAATGGGGAAGCTATGTAGACCTTTTAGCCATGGCAACGGATATTTTAGCTGGTCATAAAAAGCTTGAATGCTTGGAAATGATTCCTTCCGTGTTTAGTTACGCCGCTATTTGATTAAGCATTCCGCGGAAGCTTGCGTGGCACTGAAACTACCCATTTAACCCAATAGGTACGTGTTTTTACTAAGAAAAAAGATCCGGGTTACAGAGCAGCCTTCAGTTACTAGATCAGGATCGCGGATCTTGGGATTCACTTTACGGATCCGAGCATATGTCTGCCTCCTTACCACCAAAGTGCTTATGTCTTGAATGGTGCGCTATGTTGCGTTTGTTAACCATCGAGTACATTGCCTGGTAGAATACCGTGCCACTGGAACGCAAAATAATTATTCTGGTAAAAACTGGCTCAAGTGGTGCACCATTGAGTGCAAAGCCACAACTCGTCATATCGTCATTGTTCCATTATTTAGGATGATGTTTATTTGGACACAGCGGGAACTTGCAGCAAAATCAGGTCAACGCACGCGTTGATAAGCAGATACCAGTTCTGGCAATGAAGCCGTCAAAACAGCTTAGCAACTCACAGCGATGAAAGATGCTGAAACGTGGCCACGAAATGAACCAAAACGTCTTGTTGCCCGGCGAGTCGTACAAAATAAGTTTTGGTATGCTTTACCCCCCAAAAAATGTGACGTTACTGTATCAGTTTGCGGCAATCTTATTGCTTTGCCACAAAAACGATGAAAAGCACTGGGTGCAAACCATCGGTAAATAAACATGGTGTATAAGCAGCCGCCCAGCGACTTTGACCTCAGTGTTTTGCAAATAATATGGACAACATCCACTAAAGTATAGACAGGAGGCCCTCTGAATGTACGAACACATTAGTTAAGGGCTTGCAACCAAAGAGCG